ATAGGTTTAATGAATTATTTAAAGTGTCAAAAGATGGAGTTCAAATTAAACTTTAGCTTTTTATAAAATGTTTCTTGAGATCCTCGAATTTTGTAGCAACGTGGCAACGTCTACTTTCATGAGTTTATGACGTGCATTCGAAATTTAACTGCATTTACTATATACAAATTAGACTCTTTGGAGACAAAATTTAATATTAAACATCAAAATTGTAAAAATCTTCCAAATAATAAAATGCATAATATAGGAGAAATCTAAGGTGTTTGATTTTAAAATTTTTGCTTGATGTCAAAAAAATTATAGAGTGAAATGTTTAATTTAGCCACTGTCAACTGGGCGTTAAATAAAAAGTAAAAGGATATTTGACCAAATTATACCACCGAAGTATTTTTTTCATAATTTTAAATATTCTTACGTTCAGGAAACATATCAATTATTGACATTATTTTCTTGTAAAAATATTAATATAAAAATACATATTAGGTATCAATTACTTTTATTGTTATTTCTATGACCAATGAAACACAATTCATTCGCAATTATATCAACCCGTGCTTGATAAGATTAGAAAATTTCAAAACATAACGCGTGTGGAATATGTATTGACGTTAAATGAATTAGCCGTAAATAAACCATCTACGCCACAAATAATGTTAATGGAGGCATATTATAAGAATAGAGAAATTTGAATTGTGAAATTATTGATATCCCCTACCTTAGGGGCCTCAATATTGTATCCGTTCCGATGAAAAACATTTCCTTATCTCTCTTTTTTAATATTTTTATACATGTATGTGCACCGAAACGCATTTATTTACGTTTTTATTTGATCATATTCTTCTAGCTGAGAACCCTATTTAGTAGTAGTTTCCCTATGTATTCTGTATATTGCCACATTGATAGTTAATAAAAAATATTTATCAGAAGTCAGTTAGGTGAAACATTTTATACAGCGTGTAACAAAAATATGTACATTAAATTTAACCACAGTTTCTGGGAAAGAAAATAAGTCGATTTAAGCTAACTTATATAAAAAAATGTATAGTAAAAAACTTACCAGGAGTTAAAGTAGAAATTTTAGAAGTAATTTTTTGCTCTTCCTCTAAAACGGCTTAACATATTTTTATGAAAATGTACATAGGATGTAATTATACAGTGACCAATAAAATACAATCAGTAGAATTCAAAATTGTTTTAATTCTACAGGTTTTTAGAGGAATAATGCACCCCTTTGAGCTCCTTCTTTTTTTTTTCGTTTTAGGCCTAGGTGTATATACCTACCTAATATGCCACTCTCAGTTTGTGTTTGATTTCCTATTGATGTATGCTCTGAGTAGGCATTGTTACTGTTTCCCAACGACACTTCAGGAACAGCAATGTTAATAAGAAGCCAATGAATGATCGAAGTGGAGAATCCTACCTAGGCATCACAATTATTGTTAAATAATGAAATTAAATAAAAAAAAATTGGGGGATTTGAACCGCGGGTCCTTGGATTCGCAAGTCCAGACTCTAACCCCCTGTTTTTTTTTGACAATAAAATTCAGTTAAAAACAGGACGCCACTAAAATCTACATCTGTTTTGAATTTATTTTTGGCTTTTAGTATTTGTTTGTGAAAGTCTTAATTACTGAGTTATAGGCCTCCGAAGGAAGGTCGTAGTCAATGAAATTTTTCTATTCATCTACTGAATATTTGTTCACGATTTTTTAACTTCATAAATGATCGATATTACAAGAGAATAATTGTAAATGAAGTCGTGATCAAATATTCAGTGGTTTAAGATCAATATAAAAATTTCATTGTGAATATTTTTGTTTACAAATACTAAGTGACAAAAAAAAATCATAGTAGATGTAGGATTTCAATGGCATCCTCATTTTATATGAATATCGTTGTCTAAAAAAGTAAGGGGTCAAAAGGGTGCAGAACTCCTCTAAAAACCAATAGAATTAAAACTATTTTGAACGCCACTGACTCCATTATATTGGTCACTGTATACTAACATCTAGTGTACATTTTCATAAAAATATGTTTAGCCATTTTAGAGTAAGAGCAAAAAAATCACTCATACATTACGTTTTTTATTATCCATTTTTTACACAGTGCTTATTTTGTATTAGGCATAGCCGTGCTTTCACAGCTAACATGTGGCAACTACGATATCCCCGCTATCGCTATGTACTCTGTTTTTTTCACTGAGATTCTGTTCGGCTAATATCCCACTACCATATTTTCTAATTCTAGTCGACGACTGGCTGTTACCCTGTTGCCATTTTATTAACTTATATACTAGTCATATGCCTAACACGAAAAAATAAGTACTGTATAAGCAAGCGACTTATTTTCCATCTCAGAACCTGTGATTAAATTTACTGTACACCTTTTTGTTACACCCTGTATTAAGATAAAAGACAATTATCCATCAGCTGCTTACACTATTGATTTTCAGAATTTTCGGTTTAACTGTAGTGTTTAAAATATCAGTGGTTTTTAAAATGCAATGCTTTTTTTATAGAGTTTACTCGTATATTATGCACTTTGCCTTTGTTGTCACTTTTAAACATCAAATAAATTAAAGTTTTTAAACGTCTTTTTAATGATTTTATTTGAGTAGTTATTTATTGTAACTGAAAGTGATCAAATGAAAATAATTGTTTTAAGTTGAAATAAATTATCTAACGTAAATAACATACAGGATGATGAAGTAACGATGATTTTTTGCAAGAGTTTTAACGAACTCGAAAATGAAAGTCGTATCTGAGTTGATATTAGGATCGAAAAGATAAAGAGAGCAAATTTCCTCATGGGCAGACTTAAGGGATAAAGGGTTAAAATATTTTTACATTTACAAGCTTAAAAGGCAAAGGGATAAAATAGTTAGATATGGCAGGTTTAAGGGGTAAAAGAACCAACTACTTTTACAAGCATAGGTTTAAGGTATAAATGGATGAAATCTATATATACATAGACAAAGACAAAATAGTTCAGCACCATTTTCTCTTCTGTTTGTAAACCGATTTTATTTTTTTAACTTTTGTTTAGTAGCTATTGACGAGCTTTAGTGTAATCAATAAAAAAAATTTGGAAATAGTATTTTTTCCGAACCTTCGTTATATGAAATTCATTGATACCCAATAATTATGAATTATGATTGACTAATAAAATTAGCCTATAACGAACATGAGCACTCTTTAATTTCGAACCAACATGGACTCCCATTCCTCCAACTTCCCCTTTCTTCTTCTGCCGCGCCTATCTACTAAGAGGTAGAAAAAAAGCTAATAGCGGGGCCAAAGGCCCCGTCTGAAACGATTTTAAACCGCCCAACTCCCCCTCCCCTTCTACTTATCCTCCCCACCCCAGGGAGGTCGATAGACTTACGAAAATGAACTTCAGGAACAATGGATTAGACTTAAAAAGGAAAAAAATAAAAAAAATATTTGTTTTTGAAATTAGACCTGACAGTCGGACACTTTTGGGTTCTGGAGATTTTCAATCCAGTCCCTTTACTCCCTCCACCTAAGTTTGTACAGAGGAACAAAATGTAAGATGTAATCCGATTTTCGCTAAGGCTGTATAGAAGAACAAAATGTAAGATGTAATCCGATTTTCGTTACTACCTTCCCCCCCACAAAAAAGTTGACAATTGATTTTATAATAGATATTAATGATTATAACGGTATTATATTGTCTGAATTGACGTTCTTTGGGAGAGAATTTTATGATTCCCCAAAGGACGAGTCACTTCGCCTCCCCTCCAAGTAGGAGGGAGTGAAACATTTTAATATAAGCTAAGGTCGTATATAGCAGAACGATGGGGAACCCCCCTTTTTTTAGAGGCCTCAAGGCTAACCTCATTATAACAATTTGAAACTTTTATAGTGGGTGGGAGGTGTATGGGACCAAAGACAAAGTCGAATTAGGCTCTTTTTGAATCTCATTCCTCCCAAAAAATTACCAAGAGTGGACTGAAAATGAAATTGAAGAAATTATATCATGCGTGTAATTCATGGGACCGAAGGGCGAGGCTTTTGGTACCACCCCTTTTTCAAAAGTTAAGAAAATAATTTTATGCTGGTAATTCATGGGAACAAAGGGCACACGTTGTGGTATAAAAAATGTTTCATCTTTCTCCTCCCAGGGCTCGTGGCTACTTTTTTTCTATTTCTATTCTGGCGGGATGCGCTTCAGCTAATATTCAAAGCAAATTTAAAATTAACAGAAACGGAAAGAAGAAATGTCAAGAAGAATAAATGAAAAATAAAAACAAAGAGAAATTACAGTCCATGAAATAAAAATTTAAGAAAAGTAATACTAATCTAAGGTGCCACTTGATCCATTTCTAAAAAATATATTATATTATGATAATCACGTCCAGTACAATGTCAAATAAAATACAATTTAATACCAACAGTAGTTAATAAAATATAAAGTAAACGGAGAGAAGAAGAAATGTCAAAAAGAAAATGTTCATTAATCAGAATAGGTTTAAGAAAAATGTTTGAAATCAATAAAAATGAGGGTTTTTAAAATGTGAGTTAATGTTATTTTATTGAATTTATTTTTTTATTTAATTATAATGGTAGGTACATACATATAAAAGCTTATTGTTTCAGATACACAATGTACGAATGCATAAGAATAAAAAAAAATGTTTGAAACATACAAATGCATATGCATGTTTTCCTCAAATTTTCATTGATGATTATGGTCGAATTTCGACCACTGGGCGAACACTAGTATTATTAAATTGGCAAATGTAAGGGGTAAAGCGACCAATATAGAAAGGCCTAAGAGATAAAGGGTTTAAATATTTTTATATGTGCAGGGTTAAGGGTTAAAGGACGCAAACATTTTTATATGGGCATGCTTAAAAGGTAAATGGGACAGAGATTTTTACATGGGCAAACACAAGGGGTAAAATGACTAAATAATTTTACATGAGAGGGGGTAAAAGGACCAAATACATTTAAATAGACAGGCTTATTCATACTTACTCATTCATATATGGGACATCATAACATTGACTGACTAAAGTAAGAGGAGCAGCAACCGCAACTGTCAAAAGATACTGATTTTTCTGTTGTTTGTTAATGTTTTTCCTTATTTCTTCTAATAGCTGCGTAAAGCGTGTTCGTTGGTGCTTATTCGTATTTGGAAATTCCCAATCTAAATCTATTCCGTCAATATTGAATTCTTTAACGAATGAAACGACGGATTTTATGAATCTAATGGAAAACAGATAAAAAAAATTACATACTGTGCATTGTGTATTAGGGTCATTGTCATGAAACTGTGCACTTTACAGTCCCTGGGCAAAAAGAAATATACACGTTAAGATAATAATCGATATTATTTTGATATATTTTAGAGATAAAATTAGCCAACTTAAGAACAAGAATATTATTTATCAACTTCGCATTTTTCTATTTTTAAATTATAAAATTTTACGTGAGATCTCACTTTAGTTAACTGTCCGTGCAATAGGGTAGGTAGGTTTAGTGCAATAAAAATCTTATTTTTAACGTAAAAGAAAACTAAACAAATAAGAATGATATTCAAAAATCCTACATAAAATATCAAATAAATATTACAATAAAAATATTATTCTTAAAAAACCTTGTTTTACTTTGGTTCCCAATAAATATTCTCACTTTCGTTAATAAGGTGACTTTTCCATCCAGACTGGACATATGTCGCTAATATTCGTCATTAACACTATTAACAGCTTTATTTAGTTGTTTTCATCAGTCGTGCTCTAGCGTTGGGAACGGGAGTATCGTCAGTTGTCATTTCTATTTGTTTGTGGAAGAAAGTGCACATACGGTAAGCATAATGTCTCACTTTTGTTATGGGAATATTTATAAAAACAAGTCACTCACGCGAATTTTTTAATGCCTAACTGTTTGCTAGTATGATACAATACATATATCTAAAATGGGGGTATTTTTGAAGAAAGTTTACATATTATTTAGCGGCAAAATTGAACCAAAACCTCATCTCACTTGCGTTATACGTGAGATTTACAAAAGTGAGGTCTAGTTAACGTCAGTGAGAATTATTTAAATTTCTTATTAATGCCAAAGCATAAAATGATTTTTCGTCGTTCTTGCAGAATATACTACAAAATAATGGCAAAGTCAAAAAGTACAAGTGAACCAAGAAGAAAAATTCTTAATGAAAGATCCAAAAATGCCATGCGAAATTTACGTGAAAAAATAAAACAAATTCCTTATTACACGAAGAAGAAAAAAGGAAAACAAGAGAACGATACTAAGCAAGAAAGGAAGCAGGAAAAGTACAGCTAATTTCAGAAGTTACTGAACGAGAAAAAAGAAAAATCAGAAAAGGGTGGAGAGAAAGAAGCAAAAAAGCATATTATGCGAAAAAGGGGAAGGAAAATCTAATGGCAATGTTTAATTCCATGACGCCGCCTAATTCTCCATTGCCAGAGGAAATCGTAGCGGAAGAAAACAATCCACATCCTCCGGATCCAGACGCTGGCCCTTCACGCCAGTTTTTAAAAGGGAAACTGTTACAAAGAAAAAACCGAGAAAAAATGAGGAAAGAAATGGAACAATTAAAGAAGCAATTAGAGGCGGAAAAATATAAAAAAAGATTAGCGAGTTTAAAGAAGAAAGGGCCAAATATTCCAACAAAAAGAGTTCATATGTTGAAGGGTCAGGAAGTTACCCCGGAAGTGAAAAGAAAACTTGTCATTGCAGAGGTTGTTCAGGAACAAATTAAAAGCAATTTTACAGAACAGAAGACAGTTGAGGATAAGCAACGATTTATAAACTGCATTTCTGGAGTAAAAAAATATAAATGTAGAAAATTAATAGGATCCATTAGTTCCAGAAGACTTTTGAGAAGGAATACACCTAAAGAGTGTAAAAGAATAAAATTATTTTTACTGACTAGGAAACTTGTTTCTGATTTTTTCGAAAGCGATAAAGTTAGTCGAATGTGTCCAGGGAAAAAAGATACAGTCACTTTTCGAAAAATAAAGAAACAAAAACGGTATCTGACTGATACAATAAAAAATATATTTGAATTATTTAGGAAGAATCATCCGCCCGTTTTGGGTTTTAATTCCGACTGTTAAAAATCGAGAAACGTGTCTATGTATTATCCATGAAAATACATCACTTTTGATTGCTAAATTAAAAATTTTAAACATAATTAATGCCGCTAACTTAAGTGCATTATTAAAAGAAATATGTTGTGATATAAATAACGAAAATTGTTTGAAACGCGAATGATTAACTTGTGACAATAAAGAACTGAAATGTAATGAGTTTACTGATGGGATTGCATCATATCAAAGGTGGATCTCCAAAAAAGTAGAAGTCATAATTAAAGGGGAGAAAAAAATGTGCCAAAAAAACACCAAAGAGGTCGTAAACAGTACAAAGAAGAATATGGTAAATATATTAATAGAATCATTGCCAAAGTTTCTAAAACATTATATGCAAATTCAGCATCAATATAAAGTTATAGATGATATAAAAAAATCTTTCTGAGAATGAAGTACTGATACATATCGACTTCTCTTAAAAGTATAATTGTAAATATGGCCGTGAAATACAATCAGCCCATTTTGGGGGATCAAAACCCCAGATTAGTTTACATACAGTAATAGTATATCTGCATCAGAACCAAAATAAGTCAATGTGTTCATTTTCCGAAAATTTGCGACATGATCCATTTGCTATCTGTGGTCACTTGGAGCCTATTATCGAAAATGTTAAGAGTCTTGTTCCAAATCTTCATACGGTTCACTTTTTGAGTGACGGACCATCAACTCAATACAAGAATAAAAAGATGTGTTTTTTTACTCGGAAAGTATCTCTCAAAATCTTTGGACTGTCAGATTATTAGATGGCATTACAGTGAACCTGGCCATGGTAAAGGGGCCCCCGATGGCATAGGAGGGTGCTTGAAAATGACTACGTATAATCTTGTTGCTCAAGGTCGAGATCTAGATAACTTCCAAAATTTAGTTAGATAATTGCAAAGGTATAAAATGTAATACCATTTCTGACTCAGAAATAAACAAAATAGAATCTACGATCACAATTCCTGCTGAATTAAAAACCTGTAAGGGGACTATGTCGATAAGAGAAATCATATGGACAACGTCTTCTTCCAATACACTTGAAGCGAGAAGTTTATCTTGCTCATCTTGTGGAAGTATGAAGTGCACCCATTATAGGCTTGGATCCATAATTCTTCCTAGCGTACTTCAAAATTAAGAAAACATTCAGGACTGTATCCTTTTTTGTTTTTTTTTAAGTAATACATTTTTATATGACAGAATGCCTTTTAAAGATCACTCTTTTTCATTTTAAATATTTTTCCTTAGTTAATTAATTAGTACCACTTGGTGAAGATGAGTTAATCCATATTGTTCAAAGTTCTATACCAATTGAACTTGGATGTAGTAGTACATAATGTATCCTTTTTATTTTATTAAGACACAACTGTTTTTGGAGGTACTTTGTTGATTACTAACTTATTTTCCTTAAATCAATATATAGTGGCGAGTACTTCTTCTAAATCAAATCCAATGAAGGAAGGTATATCTAGAGTGGCAGGTCGTATCCATTATTCAGATGTGTATTCGTCAGATTCGAGCTATAATGATATAACCTCAGCTGAATTAAAAGAAAAAGTTATATACAGTGCAGCCTCTGAAAACAGATCAAACATTCCTTATGGCCCCAGCATTCCTAATGGCCCCAGCATTCCTAAAGTCAATGACTTTGTGGTTGTTAAATTGACTACTAAAAAAATACGCAAAGCACTTCATAGGGATTGTAATGGATATAACCTTTGATGAAGAAATAACTTTCAAAATAAAATTTAAAAAAAAAAAAGTTGCGCATAATAAATTTATGTTTCCTGAAAGAAATGATATTTCGTATGTTTTTATGGCAGAAATTATCACAATTTTGCCTTCAGTTTCCGAAAATAAAAATCTGTATGTTTTTGATATACCAGATAATTTGGTAATAGAATCATAACCTTTATTAGATTATTTACTGTAAAAACATGTTTCAAAGTTTCTCTTTTTTTGAATAAAAGTTTGTGTTTTTTCCATGAATTTTATTGTCTCACTTTTGTTAACTCGCTTCTCATCTGTGTTAACCAGAAACTCCTAAAATATACATTTTATGGGAAAATAAGTTAATTTTAAGCTCAACCTCTTATTTAATATTACTACAATTGGTTTTATAATTTGTTACAATTTATTTAATTTCAGATTTCTTTCCCTTTTTTCGTTTAAAAATGACCCTCTTCGAAATGCACTTTTACGTGACAATGACCCATTATTAAAAACAACAATATTAATAGTTGGAAAATGAGATTATAAGGGTTGAATTCAAACCGAATAAAACCCATGTTCAATATTTTTATTATATCTAAATTAAAGGATAATAGGTAACGCAAGAAAACAATTTTTGTATTATTCAAAAAACGTTTGTGGTATACGAGTAAATTTGCATTGGCCACTTCAGTTAAGTACAATTTCATTTTGTTCCGAATTTGTAAAATAAAATAACAAAGAACATTTAAAGTAAACAAGCTTAATGCCCTAAAGTACAATTTAGGTAAATTTTATTGAAAATAATGAAGTTGTTTTAGGTCAAAATTACAGGATTATATTCAGTTAAGTATTATATTTCATTATTATTCTGTTTTCTTTGTAGCTGAACAGAAAGTAGGTATCGATTTTTTTTAAAAAATAATTTGGTGTTTTCTATTAGATTATTTACACCCACTTTGATGGCAGAGGTGAAATTTCTTATGAAACATTAAACATGATAGAATAGGTTTAAATTGCTTTTTTTTATAAAATATGTATTAGGGCGTTGGCAGTTTGACTTTTGATTTATGATTTTTTATGCCCTACAAAAGTGCATAATAAATACGAAAAATTTGAAAGGCCCAATAAGATATATTTTTTAAATTATAGATTTAAAAAATCACGTAAAAATTTCACGAAATATTTTACATAAAATGCTGCGTAAACAAAATTAATTCACTGTCAACTTTTATAGGAAAAAATGTCAAATTTCCAAAAGGAGAAACTTAATTACTTACGTCTTCCTGGTACTATGATTAAAAACCATTTCAGGAAACCCATTGTTCACATTCCCGGCTCCACCAACGCTAACCAATACCTTAAGATCTTTGTTCACCTCTTTTAACTTGACCATCTTTTTTAAATTTTCTTTCTGATACTCCGTCATATACAAAGAATTGTTGACGATGTGAGCAAATGCGCTGTTGATGTGAGTGCAAAGATGAGGATCCAAGTGTTCAATCTGTAGCGAACTCGAGTCATCTGGTAAACTGTAGTAGCACACCAACTTGAATTTATTAATGGGAATTTTTTTAGTTATCTTAAATTGGGGAATTGGATCATAGGTATGATTGCCAGCTGCAGTACGACTGTAGGTAAGTGCTCGATGTAAAGTTTCTGATGACACTACAAAAAATGATCAACGTTACGAATTATCTCTTAAATATGTTAAAATAGGAGAATTTTCCGTTAAATAAGGTTTCCATCTGTTTTTTCACAAAGAAAAATACGTGTGGCACTCGGGGACTGCTGCGGTAAAGCTATTGCATAGCATTTTTTATCAACTTATGCAATTATAATTATTTATTTATTTTATTTATGCAGTATTTTTTTTTCTTTGATATTAATTCAAGTTACACTTTTTGAGCGTGGTGACCGATAAGAAAACAATTTTTTTTCTTTTATTGAATAAATGAGTTAATATTGTTTAAAATATTTTTATTATCTAACAATACATGTAGGTTATTCAGGAATTTTTATCATTGAAACTATAGGTTTATGGTAACTGAAATAAGAAACATAAGTTTGAGACTTGATATCCTCTAAATATCTCATATTTTGTTGTGGATTCTTGTGGATCATTATTCATTTTCAAATTCAATTTTTCCGAAATTGTGTCTAAAAAAGATAGAATCAGTTATGAGCAGTTAGCATCTAGTCTACACGCATACGTCTAGTCGCACGCACACAAACACCGTGCCGAAGTCTGCCGAACTGAAACGACGTTAGACGATGCACGGCTTTCAACGTCGCACCGCTGTGCCGGTCGGAGTGGGGGTGTTAGGTTTATTTTCGTTACGGAATTTCTTTTTCGATTTTACGATTTTTTGATTTTTCGATTTTTAGAGGGGTTAGGTTTATTTTCGTTACGGAATTTCTTGATTCGGTCCCCGCGCTCAAAGCCCGCGATAAAATCTGTGCAATAGCTTAATAATGAAAATAATGATAAAATAAAAAATAATATTTTTTCTACACCCGTATTATAATAATAATGCACTTATATGCCCACAATCCGTTTCATATTGATACCCATTATGATACAGATTTTTCATTACGATACAGATTTTTAATCAATGGAAACCTACAATTTTTCAATCAAGCATGCTGTTTGATGTTTGTCCTAGGTTCCTATGTAATTGTTTTAGTTGTCAAAACGTATTAAATTTTCGTAGATAGCTAAACTTCGATAATTATAATATTAAAATGTCTGATATCAGTGATATAGAAGACTCCTCCACACATATCGGAGAAAGCAGAAAATACAGTACAAAATATTTTGCGCAAAAATCTAGGGAAATACCAATACCCGAAGTAATACCATTAATTACAATTTTGTAGAATTTATTATAGAAATATGAGTAATTGTTATTGTGTTCAATACCAATATAAATATAATATTTATAGGTCTTTATTATTTATCGAGTGTAGAAAAAATAGCGTATGCAACTCTCATGTAATGGTTATTAATACACGAGCATTAACCGGGATGTAAAACGAGCCAAAGGCGAGTTTCGTATGGTTTATGCGTATGGTTCATTACATAATCGTTGCATAATATACTATTATAAATCTTGCAAAAAAAATTAATATCTAATATTTACGCCAGCCGGGAACATTTGTGATACCAATTTATTAGAAGCCAGAGAAAGCTCTTCTAGGTCTTGTATTGCATAAACGTTCCAGTCCGCAGACGTATATTTAACTACGCTTCATATTAATACGAATAGGGTCGGATAAAACCTTCCACGGCTTTCAAAACGCCGCACCGTTGTGCCGGTCGGAGTGGGGGGTGATAGGTTTATTTTCGTTACGGAATTACGGAATTTCTTGATTCGGTCGCCACGCTCAAATCCCGCGATAAAAGCTATGCAATAGCTTAATAAAAATATTTTCTGCAAAGAAACTACTATCAACACAATAGTTGTTACAATATACAGACAAATTTGGTAAGTCCCTGTTTCAGGTGGAGTTGAATATCGAGAAAGATAGGCGTCCCATTAGAGTGCGCGGAGAAATAAGATAGAATTATTAGACGTACAATTGTCTACACAAAGAAGGTTGCGCATAGAGATATTCTATAAAATGGATGAGGTATCTCTCAACTTCGACCGAACGGAAAACGGTAGAACAGCCTTAAAACAAACTTTACTTTTTATTAAAAAATTCAGTAATATAGCACTCAACCCATAATTGCAAAAAAAAACCAATAAGTATAGCACCTACGTGAATATACTGTGGAGGGGCGCGCCCAGCTATCTGTATCTGTAACGTGTGGAGGGTGGGTTAAACCACGGCACTCAAGCCTCACAAGGCCCATTGTGCACACCCCCTAGCTCGTGAGCCAGCCTACAGATTTAATGTAGTTGACACCGTCGCTAAGAGGTGTTAATTTACCTAACCTGTGAGACCTGGAGCCCTCGAGGGTTGCTTCGCAAAAAAATTATACAAAAAAGGAAAAAAAATTACTAATTTACCTAACCCGTGCAATTTAACTGATTGCTCCGACACAGGTTAGGTAACTTAGTTAAGTGTTTTTTTATAAAAAAACCTAACCAACTTATCTAACCTGTGCGGTCTAAAGTCGTTGCAGTTTGACTCGCAAAAAAAATTATAAAAAATGAGAAAAATAAAAAACTTAACTAATTTACACAACGTGTGCTATTTAATTTAACTGATTGGTACGTGCAAGTTAGGTAGGTACGTTAGTTAAGTTTTTATTTTTTGTATTTGTTTTTGTGAAGCAGCGATGATTCTAGGCCGTACAGGCTAGGTAAATTAGTTAAAATTTTTGTTTTTATTTTTCTTATTTTTCTATAATTTTATGTACATTTGCTTTTTCTATCAAATCTATTTTCGATCAATTTTCTTTTCGATCATTTTTCTGTTCGATCATATTTCTTTTCGATCAATTGTTATTCGATCCAATGTTTTCGATCAATTTTGTGCCACCCCATCTTCTTGTTCGCACCCCTGCAGAGTGCAGATTCTGTCAGATTCATCTATATCTGTAACGTGTAGATAGTGGGTTACCCCTCCACATCACTTAGGCCTCACCAGGCCCGTTGTGCATCCTCCTATGATGATAGGCACCTCCTACCTCGTGAGCCAGCTTACAGATTTAATGTAGCTGACAACGTCGCCAAGAGGCGCTTCTTTTATATCGGCGCACCCACCTAATTATAGAGGTTGCACCATTGTAAAAGCTCTGCAGAGCATAAGAAACAAAACTACAAATCAGAAAGAAGGCAACAAACATTAATGGAGGCTGGTATACCTTATGCCCAAGTAGCAAGTAATGAAATTCAACAGACAATAGAGAACAGTACTGATCATATAACTTCAATGCTGCAAAAAATATTGAATTAAATGATTAAACAGGAAGAATTCAACAAAGAGTTCTAGAAAGGCTGGATAGATTAGAAAATAATAAAAGACGATAAAAGACGAACATAAAGCTTATCAAACTTTGTTGTCCACACATTATTCCATATATCACGCACATTGTCAATTTTTGTTCGAGTAATAATGTTTTTCCTTCAGCGTGGAGAAGGGCAGTTGTGCAAGTTGTGCCAAAAAAACTAAATCCAGAAAAATTAAGAGACTTTCGTCCTATAAGCATCTTGCCGGTTTTATCAAAAGTGCTTAAAAGGTGATGGAGATGCAACTAAAAGAATATATATGTCGGCGGCGCCAATGTTTACCTATTATTTTGTTTATAGTTTTAAGAAATTTTATTTATTGGTAGTCGGTATTTCAATAAGATAAGCTTCTACTTGGTTTTTATAAGTGATGACTTAGTAAAAATGTTACACACTTGCCTTTCATAGTGAGGGACAAGGGGGGCGGAACGGAGCCAGCAGAATGTTGATAGAAAAGAAGGAATGAGAACAGAGATTAGAGAAGTGTGGCTGGCTCCGGATCGCTAGTATCATTTCTTTAATTGATTAATAATTGATATCGTATTATTATCCGTATTTCTTTAATAATTATTTGTGTAACGTCGTTTAAAGTGTGTCAACATTGTTTATTGTTCTATATTGCATTAACAAGTTTTATAAGTGTTAAATGTAGTGTTTTGTCACAACAATGTTTGACGGTGACGCCCTAAATATCCGAAATCCGATATATATTTCGAATTACTCAATTTTATCACCTCTTCAATCGGGTTTCAGGAAAGGTTTTAGTTGCACAACTGCTCATTTACAAATAGTTGATGACATTGTTAAAGCAAGTGATAAAAAATTATACACCTTGTTAATTCTTCTTGATTTCAGTTGAGCATTCGATACAACTAATCACAAATTAATAATAAGTATGTTAAAATACATAGGCTTCTCAGAAGGAGCGATATCGCTATTGAGAAATTACTTGCAAAACAGACAACAATGTGTAGTTATTGATAATAAATTGTCACATCATATTTCAATTAAATCGGGTGTTCCACAAGGCTCCATTCTTGGTCCACAGCTATTTTCCATATACACTACTCATCTAGTAAAATCTTTACAACACTACAAATTTCACTTATACGCAGATGATACCCAACTATACTACAGTTTTCCTTTTGATAGAGTGGAAATAGCATGTGAAACTATAAATGCCGACTTAGATGCTTTTATCAAAACTGCTACAGATCATTGTTTAATCATAAATTCAAGTACATCAAACGTCATTCTTTTTGGACCAGAAAATAATAAATTAAATGTTTCTAGCGGACTTAATATTAAAATAAATATTGTCTTTAACTGTAGTTAACAAAGTAAAAAAATCTTGGGGTATGGTTGGATACAGACTTGCGGTTTGAATAACATGTAACCAACTTATAAGACGTGCTTATTCTAAACTAAAAATAATTTATGGTAACAGATATTTTCACCCATTTCACGTGAAAGTGAAGTTATGTGAATCTTTAATTCTTTTAATATTTAATTTAATGGTTAAATATATGGAGAATAGGAGATTACTTCACACACTTAATCTTTTTCATAGAATCATTGTAACTAAAAAACCGCCATATCTTCATAGAAAAATAACATACCACACTAACGTACATAACATAATTATTAGGCATAATAGATCACTGGCAATACCCTCGTTCAATACAGAATTCTTTCGTCGATCATTCGGATATCAGATCTGCCATCTTTACAATAATTAGTTATCTACTAAAATTAAATATAACCAGGTTCAAACCTTGTCTCAAACTATTTTTGTTAAATAAACAAAATTAAAATTTATTAAAGTTTATTACTCCTCAAATACTAAAATTATTATTATTATTTGGGTTAAGTGGAAGAACAGATTTTGTGGTGGATCCTCCTTCACAAATCTGAACTTCGCCTTTATTTTAAATAATAATTCTTGTATAATTGTTAAAATTATGAAAATTGTAAATTTATATTGGAAATAATAAAGAAGATATATTTTTATGGTCGAGTGGGCATTCCTACCAAGGCATCAGAATTAATTTTAAATAATTAAATTAAATGAAAAAATTCCGGCCAACGGTAGGACTCGAGCCCGGGACCCTTGAATCCATAGGCAGAGGCTCTACCACTGAGCCACCCACCCCGTAAAAGAAGATATTATTTTTTTTTTTCTGTGTGTCATCGGCTTCAATTATTATTATTATTATTACTATTATAAAAGACAAAATAACTCCTGATCTTAGTAAGGAACACAAATGGACACCAGCAAAAGTTATTAGTGACCTTAGAGAAACAACATGTGGATATTATGCCTAATAGCAGAAACAAATTTCATGAAACATACCCACATCAAATTAAAAGAATATCAGTAATATCAGATCTATAATGTCATTCATCCAAACAAAAAAAATGTTCTCACTATTACACCTGCCTACTTTCCACCTAGATATAATCTCAAAAGAGAAAAATACAACAACTTATTGTCAAGTCTTGGTGAAAAATGTATATTAGGTGCTGATTTTAACGCAAAAAATGTCTGCTGGGGCTCAAGACTACAACCAAAGGAAAATAACTGAATCAGTCTATCAAAGATCAGAAATGTAGGTGGCACTCCACGGGAAGACCTACATATTGGCCAAGCGATATAAACAAAATACCCAACCACTTTGAATTTTTCTATTTCCAGAAATATTGCAGAAAATTTTATAAAGATAGATGATTTTGAAGAAGAATAAAGGATAAAACCTAAACTAGAGATTATATGGGTAGAATTAAGATTCTTCTTAGTCTACAGTTCCTTGAAGGGTGGTACCAAAAAACGTTTTCTAATTTTTTCATTTTAATTTCAAATAAACTGAGTTTCAATTTAAATTTAATTGCATAAATTTATGCATATTTAAAATATAATAAATCAATGTTTTTAATGAAATAAAAAATCTTGGTCAACCTCATGGTTAACTATGGTCAAGTAGTCAGTAGTCAATTTAAAATAAATCCAAAATTGAGAGTACAATTGTAGAAAAATTTAGTAGTGGATTTTGAAAAAGTCAAATTATAATTACCAATATTGTGGTTTTGGACAATTGACTGATACCCAATTGGCAGATACCCAATTGACCGACAGGATAATTTACAGACTTATTCACAGACAGACTAACTAAATGACAGGTTAAATTACAGATAAACCAATGAACCGATTTTAATCCCCGCGATCGCTCTAGGTCACAAATGTTAGGTAAATTATTTAATTTTTCCCTGTTGGTAAATTGCCTTGTCCGTTAATTGGGTGTCAGTCAAATGGTCTGTCGATAAATTGGGTGTCAGTCAATCGACCCACACCCTCAATATTCATATGAATTCTTAATTGCAAAAAGATAACATCTATTGGAAATATGTCAGAGTGAAAGCTTCAGATAACAGCTTCACTTAATTTATTAGGACTGGTTTTATTGAACACATATTTTTATGTTTTATAAATAAGTAAACATGTAGAATATTCTGAATATTTTAAATATACTACATAGGTATGTAGTTATAAAAATAAAATCATAATTTCCATATTTTTGATTAATAGATACATAATTGGCATACTAAATAAAACACTATTAGTTACAAGTCATTATTGATTTAATGTACTTAATATGTAATGTTTTTTGAAAATTTTCTTAACATCATAATTGTAAATTTTATTTATTAAAACATTTTAAGGTAAAAAGTACTATTTCGGGCACTCTCTCATGAATTAATTTCAATAAAAGACAATATAATTCTTATAAAAATAGCTACATATCTACCTAGGTTTAAAATCAAATCAAAATAAACAAATTCTACAATATAGAAAACCTTGAATTCAACATTAATTAATAATCACTTATTAACTAATCAAATATTTTACAGACACTATAAGTGTCATTGTCTTTATTTAAATTGTAATTTATATTACATTAATTAATAATCACTTATGAACTAATCAAATATTTTACAGACACTATAAGTGTCATTGTCTTTATTTAAATTGTAATTTATATTACCTTTTGTTGCAGTTTTTGGATAAACAATGTTTCGATGAAATCCAAATAATATACCATATAATACGAAGAACATAACAACTGGGGATATAAGAAGAACTATAATGAGAGATATCTTTCGCTGTTGATACCATCGTAGCCTAAAATAATATATAATTTAAAAAACACAAAAATCATTCAATGTAAGCAGACACTTTACCTTGTATAGGTAACATTTGCATTAGGTGTCAACACACTATATCTATAAAAATCTTCTGAGAACATTTCTGTTTATTTTTTGGCACGTTAGATAATTATTTATGTGTTTTCTAAGTCGCTACTCAAAAAATACGATCGTACACAAAGCATTTGAAACATTAAACTGGTATCACAGACCTTCTATATATTGTTTAACTGGTATTTAAATAATAATTACTGGTGAGTGACAGATAAGGTGGTTTTTTGACAAAGTTTCAGATTTGACAATGACATAAAAACAAAAATAATGAATACTGTAACTTATGCAACTTACATTCCAGCACTGTATTTAATGTTGCCTGAGCTTTAGGCGCTTATTTCTTGAGGAGAGGGTAAACCAGGGCAAACTATGGATTGTTAGGGCAAACTGTAAAAGATCTGATATAAATAAAAAATATTAAAGTGTGGGTGGGTAACTACCACTTATGGAACACAATTATTTTTGCTAATTTTCGAAAAATATGAAAAATCCTTGGACACGTCAATTTTAAATAGGGTCGTCGAGAGCCAGGTCGGGCCCCGGGACAATTTTTCAGGTCGGTCCCCGCGACAATTTTAGCCTTTTCAATACCACATTCCTAAAAAAAAGCTCTTTTAAAAATATAAAAACGTCCTCACCTAAAGCTGCCGGAATTTATCTCGGTTACCCCCTCTCTCGTTGGCCCTGATTTTAAATCTAAATGGTACGTCGTTTAAAATAAAATTGGAACATATGGGATGATCAATATGTATTTGTAGCAACAGATAGGTTGTTAAATGGACCACCTTGTATATTTTTATATTTCTAAATTCCACCTAATCATTTCAGTTCAAGTACCTACCTAATGGCTTAATTGATAAATAGGCATAATGATTTTAAAGATATTTTTAAGGAAATGCAAAAGTATAGGTAATACATAAACATTTCAAAAACAAAGAATATTTACCTTCTTGTTGTTTGTGTTAGGGTATTAAATGTTCAAAATGTTCTCCATTGACTTATTGGCTGAACAGGGCCGCTGAGAGCCATGGTGAGGCCTGCTTGGGCAAAACACTGGCAAGGGCCCACCCCCCACATATTATAACCTATTTTTTAAAGCTACCGCCCCCTCCCTGGGCCCGGGCCCCAGGGATTTTTCCTCCTCGTCCCTCCATCTCGTCGGACCTGTGGCTGAAAGCTCTAGTCTCTACCGAAATATATTTTCACATGATCTGCAAGAGTGCAATGCACAATATATTTGAAATAATCACATGCACATTAAGGCCTTTATTGTTATAAACACATATTGAATATACTTCGTATGTTTTAAGGACTCATTTTATTCATAATGCATGTGAAAAAATGTTTTTAATAATCACTACACATTAATCATTTTTAATTTGCCCCGGAGCACCACGGCACATAATACCTTAATATATATAGCCATCACTTCCCCGCTCAAGTTCAGTCGGCTTCAATAAGTGTTAAAATTCACTCACAAGGTCGAGAATTGTAGGGAGAGTAATATTCAATGGCGGCACATTGAGTGCTCTGAAAGATCGGGGGGCAAAAGCAATTATTATTTTACAGCTTTTATTCACCTACTTTTTATACATTAATTCTATTCTGCGGTTTTTCTTAGCAGCAAACTTATACATGTACAATGGAAATGCAAAATCGAATCACATCACATATGCGACAGATTAAACAAAGCTCACAGTTCTGGCAAAAATGCACCCCAAACACTGTCGAGGCGTTATTTTTTAGAGAGCCGTGGGGAGGCGAAACAAAGCAGAGTGCGGACGGCCCATCGGTGCACGGACCGTCCCGAAGCGACCCAGCTAAGAAGGTGAATATGACTTCCACGTTCGCATGATTTAATAATTTAAATAAATTAATATTTTTGAGATAATCCATAAAATTTATTTTACGAATATTTTAGATTGTCTAGAATAATTTCTGTGAAATGTAGATGAGATAGGGACCGTGCGTCATGACTTTAACGCTAACTGGTGACAAAAATGTGAACTTTTTGGGGGGTATTTATTAATGTTTTATACGGCATTTATTGTTTAATAATTATTAATAAAATGAAGTCGAATTATTTTCGTAATATCAATATCGAAAAAACTTGTTGCATCCGTGGATGTACAAACACATCACTTTAGAAACCTGGATTTCATTCGATAGTAAAGAAATTTTATAAATTTCCACAGAGCACAATTATGCCTCACACCCAATGATATACATAATTACAAAGATTGCTTATTCATATGTAAATCAGACGACGAAAAGCGTATTTCACTGGGCAAAGTTTTCTTTTTATCTAGCTTGTATCAATTTTGAGCACTTAGTTGTAAAGAAATCATTTACAGAACCGGTTTAGAAATTAGAATCTTTAGTGTTTTCTTGTCATTAAGATTTTTACATATTTAAATGAACATTTTATATAAATATAATTTTACAGATAATGGTTTATTCTGTTGATTAAAACTAATGTAGAATGTTATGAAATAAGAATGTCCAATTTGACAAAAATATCACGGCCCTCTTTACAATTTATTAACCATTTCTCATTTATTATTAAAATAAACAAATCATAAATAATACATTGCAATTACTGTCAAAAGAGATTGTAACAAACTTTAAAATATTAAAAATCCAGTGATTTTTTGTAAATTTTTTTAGTGACATTACCATTAAACATTATTCAGAATAATAGATAAGTGTCCAATTACAACTCTTACCAAAGTTGTTTATACTTCATACCAAAATTGTTTACATTACCTTTTCAAAATTGTATTACATATTGCAATTATGTATTTTATGTAGAATTGTTTCTGAAATTATTTATATCCATCTGTTATAAAAATTGTTTAGATCTCTTAATATTATTTAACTACATGAAAACTCAACTTTCCAAATACATAATGACATGTCTTGAAGTAAAACTTTAATTATTTTCTTTTTCTAAAGATTAAAATGCTGAAATTTTATTGTAAAACACATTTGGGCTAGAACGGCTCTATTTAGTGAGCACTAGGAAAGGCACATTGCAACCCGCTTTTCATATAATTTTTTTATAGTTGGGTGAGCAATCTATAATATATGTATCATTGAACATCTCATAAACGCCAGTGGATGAATGACATTTCGATTAACATAAAGCTAAAAAGATTTATAATTAGGCATTCCAACGACCTGTCAAACAATAGGTGCCAGTGGGAAATTTTTGTATATTTAAGGGGGTAGCGACATAGTCTTGTAACTTGGACGCTATTTTTATTCGAAGTAGTACTCGCCAAGCCTGCCAATTTATGAAGAAATGTATAGGTGGGTTTTTTAAATATTATTTTTATTGTGTTTGACATAAAATATTTAAATGTAATCCATTATTCATGATTTTACGTAAAGTAGATAGAATACACCATATGTCGCCACCCTTAGATATACCAAACCTGCCCACTGGTAATTCATTTGTTTGGAATGCCTAATTTTAAATTTTTTAAATGTTTTTGTAATACTTTTAAATTCAGTGTTACTAAATACCGATATTTTAACATTGGATACACTTGTTTAAGGTACAACTTTACAATTTATTGTCACTTAGCCATTTAAATATTTTTGCTTAAAATGTATACCTATGCATGTCCAGATTTTAATAATGTTTCACATTTTAAGTCATTTTGACCATGTACACGATTGTTTGGTACGGGCCGGTATCTATTTTTAACTATATTTAATATTTAAAAAAATACCCTTCATTATTTACTTGCAATGTTTACCCCATTTAATTCTAAAATTAAACACTAGAGAGGGCTAAGTTCGGCAGTAGTGCTGCCTTTATATTTCACACACGGTCCCTATATACTTGCATTTTTTCGGCAGTTTTGCAGCACTTATATATACACCAGAGAGCCGCCACTGTAATATTATTATCTGTTACGCAGGTACTTTTCGTTTATAATTGAAACAAAAACTGTACGAATATTTTTTTATTGCATAGAAAAAAATATATAAATAAATTAAAATAAATAAATAAATATAGGACATCGTATTTTTTTCCTAGTCATAACTCTTAAAAATAATACAATAAGAAAATTACAAATCATAAATACTATAAAAAGCTTATAAAATTACCTACCTACAAAATTAAAAAAAAGCGTAAAAAATACAAAAGCTTAAATAAATATTTTTACATTTAAAAATATACCTATATATTATATTTGGACTAGAATTTTTACAATAATACTGAGAGTCATTAAAATATGTGGGGACAAAAAATATTAGAGATCAAAAATGACACGGATCATCCATATATTAAAAATAAATATATCTATAATAAGAGTAAAGATCATTCAAAAAGACATTCTTGTCTAAAAATATTAAATTTTTATATTAAAACACTGAAATAATTCTATATCCAGTACACTTCTAATAAATTGTTTATTATTGATATTAAGCCAATAGTTTTTTAGCAAATGTTTACAACCATTAACATAAACTTTGTTATATAAAATGACACTGAACATATTTGGATTCTCCAAGTGATATTTTTTTATTTTTATAAGTTCGCAAATATTTTCCAGCATTTTAAATATTTGCAAGCTGATTTAAGTAGGTATAGTGTCACGCCAACAAAACATACATTTTTATATTTAATTGTTATTTTTACCAATAACACAGGTTTACAGAATAAAAAAAAAGTACGGACTATTTGACCAGATCATGGTATTCCTAGGTATTTTGGCGTCCTGAATCCGATCCTGGGGTCAGTTTTGCCCCATCACGTCAGAAAACCCAGATTTCAAGGTCATTTAGAGGTTAACATGGTGCTTTTTCGGAATCGGCCATAGGACAATTTCTCAAGCGATCTGTTGAGGGGTAACTGTCTAGGTCGTGAATACCTTCCAAACATTAGACAGGGGCCATGAATCTCGACCAGGATCAGTGCAGGGACAGCCCAGTGGATAAAATGTTACCATGATGGTTGTATCTTGCGAATTTCGATCTCCCTTCCAAGGTGTTCAATTTTGGCGATCCATTTGCTGTGAGATAATGCCAGTGG